CCCATCCTTTTTGCGCACCATGTGTAAAGGAGAGGCCCAAGGACTGTGAGAAGGACGAATAATACCAGCAGATAGTAAATTGTCAAACTCACGTTTAGCGAAAGCTAATTTGTCCGGTGCCAGTCGGCGTGGTCTTGCCGTGACTGGTGGTCCGCGGGTGACTATGTGGTGTACCACACGATTGGTCACCGATGAAATCTCCTCGAGTGGTTTAGTTATTCTGGGGAATTTCTCGAATAAGGCGTGGAATTTATCGTCACGCGAATAAAAAGTGCCGAGGATTCGGTACGCGTACATCGGAGTCTATTATATTAATACTATTCTTATCGTTATCCGTCATTTCGAGTATATTATATATTAAAAATTAATATGAAGATATACGACAGACGTGGATAGATAAAACAATAGACTCACCGAATTGCCTTCTTTGAAAGATTTGACCGAGGTTGAGGCGTGTTCCAATATTTGGCTCACCAAATGTAGCGTGGTGTCGAGTTGAGCTTGACTATGAACACCGCTACAAGACTACGTGCCAATTAACCAATAAGATCCCCGTAGGTCAACATCAGAAGACAGATGATGGCTGTAGTCGAGATGTATTTGTTGGCGATCTCGTGGTATCGAAAGAATACCGAGATCGTGCCAAAGGAGTACAAGTGTGGTTACTGAGCGTAACCGGATTCGTACAAGTTCGAAGTCAACGGGAGAGTAAGTATAATGGCTGTCATTAGCACAGTTAAACAAACGAGCACAGTAAAACAGTCACTGGTACAATTGGTTATAATAATAATTGTTTTCATCGAACCAATCGCGTTCTGTTGACAAAAGTAGGTCACTACAGGATATATGTGAATAACATTCGCAACATTGTAAGCAATCATTACAAAAACATCGACCTTGTAAATTACCTTTAGCAAGACCTTACTTTACCTTCTAGAAAATCATATCATTCAATGCTTTATTCCTGTTTATCACAAATATTACTAGGATTCAATCAATATTCACCAATTGAAGTGATAAGTATCAGTTTCGTGACATTAATTTGACCATCTTTCTCAATGATTTTGTTGCATTGAATATTATTAGTTTTATTAATGGAGGTTAGGATTAAGAGTTACAGTTAAAGCGGGAGAATGTTTTGTAACTATATACTAATGAATATTTAAGTACATAATTCTTTTAATTTTATATCTTAAAACTTTTAAGTCATTTGGAACATTTATGATCATGTACAAGTATTATGTAGATTTTAATCCTAAATATTTTCTAATATTTTTCTGCGAAAAATTAATCATTAATAAATGTAGTATATACAAGCACATTTACATGCTAAGATTCGAACATATTCCACATACAAAAACCAGATTCACACAGAAGTCCATATACGAAAATGACTAGACAGGCGTTTAGTTAAGAATTGTATTTACGTTTGCAAATGTGTTTACTTGAAGAAGCTCGGTTTATGTTTCGAATACAAAAAACGTCACAACAATAACAAGTTAATTTTGATCGATCAGATCTCAAAAAGTTAGGTTTCATATAGACATTGTAGGAAATATATAGTTACCAAATATGTGTTATATGAATTATTCGTGTATCTTAAGATTTGTTGAGTTCGGCCTAATTATGAACGATCGAGATTATTTTAGTTCGAACGAAACCTATTAAGAACACAATAAAGAGGCAACCAATATGCACAACTCTTCAATAATAATTCCTAACGATGGTACCGAAGAAGAAGACAGTAACGCCAAACACTTGATATTTGTGAAGACAAATTAGAAAAGAACAAACACACGGTCTTGAAGCACATAGAAAATCACGTGATAATGACTAACCAGAATATAGTAAATATTATGTAAAAAGACGGGTTAGAAAAAATTGTACTCGGGTTATCATTACGTCACATTTACTAGCAAAACTGGATAACTCATAAACACCTGAGCAGTTATATAGTCAACACAAAGATATGGTAGTTATTTATTTTATTTTAACACATAAGTATAGGTACAGGGAGGCACCAAATACATATGCGCCACACAAATCTCAATTGATTTGTGTGAGGGCTGTGATACTGACCGGGTGCCCAAACCGAAGCAGGTGGTTTTCTTAGGGGGCCACACCCCGAGCCTTTGACCTGAACGTCTGACCCACAAGGCAGTGGAGCATCGTAAGGAGATGCAGTCCCGTGGTAGCCGGTGACCAACGATTGGTTCATACGCCATTTGTTTCTTTCAGGATACTGGAGCCCATGTGCACCATTGGTTTGGGATCCGGTTAAAGCGCCAGACATTCGCTTTTCGTCTTCTCATTTTTGTAAACAACACCCCCGCCACGAGAAGGCAGTGAGTAGGACTTCCCTGGCAGAGGCTATATACGCATGGCCATGTGAGAGCATTTCGAGAGGGAGAGCGGACTCTCCCCACTCTCGGCCGTACCAGGGCATTTGGGGGCAAGATATGGTAGTACAACATTGAAACATATCAAGGGATGACTAGCCGAAAAATTATATTTTGCAATGATAAAAATTATTTGCCGCTTATTTTTTCTTAAAGATAAGCATCCTTCGTACATAGTTGAGATTAATGAGTTCTGACAATCTAAGTCTTTCAGTATCACTACTATATTATTTTTAAAACATTACTAGTTTATATATTATAATGAAAAGAATTTGAACTTTCGACTTCCTTTGTCTACAATGTGATGTAAATTAGACGTGTACTATTCTAAATAATTAGATGTACAACCAACTGTTCTTTTCGAAAAACCAACGTAACCCAACTGGTTGTGTTAACAGTAGTATTTATTTAAATTCCTAATTCAAAGTCAAATGATAAAACTAGCAATTGACTTTTACTAGACTTTCTATTCTTTTTGAGAGAAATATAGCTGTGCAGAAAATTGACTGGAATACATATTTAGATATATCTTAACTACAGTGTTATTAAGTTTTGAAGTAGCATATCCGATTAATGAGTAAAACCAGATAATTTGAGTTATCTAGCAAATTAAAACCACGGTTTATAATGTTACTTTATGAAGTTTACACTGAAATACAAATCACTTATTAACCAATATAAACTTTAAAAAGAGTGCGACATGAAGTTAACAAAATAGAGATAATAACAGTCCGATAAGAATTGACCACAACTAATACGTAAACAGAAAAATGAAATATTTGAACAACAGTTTTTAATTTTTAAATCCTAATTTGAGCTTAATAATTAGGAACACCACAGAGCTAAGTAATATTAGAGTAATTACGTAACAAACACACGCATGGTACTAATTTAGTTACAAAATATTACAAAAAGGCCTTTAATTAAACAGATTAGCATGAGACTTTTCCAAAAGATTGCTTGATCTTGTCCCCTAGATTTTTGAAAATTCATAGTATGATTGACTAACAAATGACCCTGATTAAATTCCTAATTGAATTACTACGGCTTTCAAGAAACACACCATAAACTGCTGATATGTTTTAAAGGCTGTGAATAGTTTCAAGCGTCCCTGATCTGTTAGCAATAAATACACTGTATGAAGATCTGAGGACAAAAATCATCCCAATCAACTAGGACCCCAAGAATTTAATAGACCGAAACCATCTACAAAGATCACCTTTGAATATCAACCAACAATTCAGAACATCATAGCTATCGATACAAAACATCTCTACTCAGAAAGCATTAGAAGTGAGAGTATCAACGGTAATAAAATCAATTAGGTGTAGAAAGGTGTAGTAAGACAGTTTACGAAGATTTCAACACTCCGTAGAAAAAGTGGATATCTCTACACCGTTGCGTAGGATTATCACCTATCTCCAACCACTGAGTATGATAACTCTGTGGAGTCTTAAGGGATAGTTTGCACCAATTTACTTAAGTCCAATTGTTACTTAAAAAATTAGTGTAATAACTTGACTTAGCCACTCCTAGCTGTAATAGATATTGCCCTCGAATTAAACGGCGATTTGGCACACGAAATTTATATCTCAACCACATCAATTGAAGACTCACAACCTCTTCGACCAATTAGCACTTTTTACCTAGTACTTTCCGCCTAAATTTGGTTTTATTCATTCGGTGGTCTCAGCATACGTCGGATATGTGAAAAGTTAATGAAAAATATAAGACAATCTTTTATTTTCCATTACATTAGAAGACAGCATATTACTAATTCATGTTTACACACTGATAAGTCTTGCGATTTGAACGCTATACTCGTTTCCTAAGCTATTCTTGAAACCCCCAAGCTAGGACTATCCAACAACCTGAACACGAGAGAGAAGGCGCAAAGTATGCGAAAAGTATTTTACTCCAAGGTTCGTTTTTGTACAGAAAAGCACGGGTATTTATAGGTGCTAACATTTGTTAAATCAACATCATATTTTGGCCAATCCCCTAAAAGACATATTATGCACGCCACGTTGGTATTCTAGAAAGCTCCATCATGCTCTGATTAGCTAAGACTCTTCGGCTCCTTCAGGGCCTCCGGAGGTTCTGTTGCAGTTCTCAGAAAGCCGACTTAACACACACACCGAGAAAGCAAATATATTCAGACAAGCCGAAACAAAACAAGTAATTTCGGAAGACAAATAAGAATTTGCATTTTGAGCTAGACAGATAAACAAAATGTAAACCGATCAAGTCACTTATCAATTTAAAGCGGAAGTATTTAGGATTTAGTACTACACAGGTTTGTGAAAATTACTTCGTTTCATCAGACTGATCTTAGACAACTATTAAAAATCACACACCAAGTAGCTGTTCGTTCTATTATTTAGACTAACAGATCCCTGCTCGGTAGTGATCTAAAGGTTGGGTACTCCTTGTGAGACTTCAAGGTTCTGAGCCTGATTCTCGGAGGGGGGGATTGTGGATATGCACTATGACGGAATCCCATACTAGGACAAGAGACGTTCGGTGATTCCTGATTTTTAATTATTGTCTACCTAGAATTGGTTTTTGATATGAACAATCGTCCGCAATGCAAAACTCAATAACAATACTAACACAGGGTAATTAATAAAAAAAGAATCTATACGTAGATGTATTGTCTTATATAGTCATGTATATATACATTAATAGACGCATGACGATCATCATAATCGTTATTGAAACAATAAAAGAAAACATGAGAAGAAACAAAATACCAACATTTGTAGAAAATAAGGCAATAATAATAACTCACGATAATGATAACAAATACATAATATTAATTTTTCACAATCCTTAATTATATATGTTATGCATTTACAAATTGTTAGAAAAAAATAAGATGAGGACACAGGACAGAAGAAAACAAATTGTTCTATTCACTGAGGACTGACATAGAAACACATCAATTAACGCACAGATAGATGCATGCAAATCAAGTGTAAAGACTAGATAAGGTTCAGACGAGCAATAGAACATTAGCCATTAAAAAGAAACATTTATTATCATTATTATTGATTCTATAACTTAGATGAAATACAATGCATAATAATGGTGACAAAAGAAAGCAAGAAAGAAAAATGCAACAGCATAACATGCACACAAACTTGTCTGCCTAGCAAATATTTTATGGAACATAGAACGATACGTTTATGAATTTTCTTTACAAGCTCCTCAAAAAATGGATGTCATCTTGTAGAATATAGTTTGCTATGCATTATTTAACACTATTTTTGCACTTCTTTTGAGGAAAACGTCAAGAAAGTGAACATATATATATACATGAAAGAGGGAGACAGAAAGACAAATACAAAACAATTATGGAAAAGACAGAAAATTGAATAATACAAAAATCTAGACTACGAGAATACTGCTCAAACTCAGAATATACAACGCGATCACAAATATCCAGGCTAACCCGCTCACCACCACCAGATGGATAAGGAAACAGGCTGAATGATATTTGTCATATAAGATAGACGTAATAAAGTATAATAAGGCGGATAGGAAGATAAAAGATTTACAAATCTTAAAAAACATCTAAGCATAATAACAAGATGTTTTTTGAAGAAGAAAGCTGACCGTTTGCTATCAATTAAAGCATTCGATTGAATAAAATCATGTACAAATAGTGAATAATAACGACAATAATAATAATAATAATCACTGAAACTGTTCGTACGATGAACATCAGTATCAAAAAAAGAGAAGATAACCAAAGTAGAAAGGTATTTTATTTACTGTAGTAAATATTATTAGCAATTCTTATTTAAAAGGTGGTACATAATAACAACAATTGCAATAGATAGAAAAGTTGTAGAGAAGGAAATAAGTAGGGTAGTGTCTCAAGCAAAGAAACAATTACATATCGGTGTGCTAGATTAGTAGTAATAGTAGTCAAACGTGTTTTATATTGGCAACCACGTAGACGAATATAAATATTCTAAAAAAAACCACACCAACTAATATTATTATCATCAACAAAAAAAACATTACCAGTCAGAAGATTACTTATTAGGGTGTAGTCTACGTCTAGAGTATACGCAGAAACATATATATCTATATACAAGAAATTGTGAAAATAAGTTAGAGAAAATTATACAAAAAGGGGGAAATAATACAACGGTGAATATCAAATTAGATCGTTATATATATATGAAGGATATTAGGTGAAAATGAAAAATAAATCACCAACCAACATATCTCTTTACTACTAGAGTATATGAAATAATAATAATAATAATAATGAAAAATAATAATAATAACTGACAAATGCATTTCAATAAATACGAGAAAATTATTAATTTAATAAAAAAACAAAACAAGAAAGTACATTTGAATAAATTACAATAATAATAGTTAGTTAAATACAATATACATACATAGATGACTAACTTCATGAGTATGTCAAAATGTTATAAGCTTTTTTTCATTTGAACTCATCATCACTACTATTACTACTGCTGCTGTTGTTGTTGTAAAGCCTGATGTTGAGCTACTTGTTGTTGATGATGGTAAGCTGCTGCCGCCATAAGACCTGCTTGTTGTTGATACTGTTGTTGTTGTTGTTGATGTAAAGCCATAGCTGCTACAGTTGCTGATGTTCCTCTGGAAACAATTGCTGCATTAGTATTAGTGACGCCAGTATTTCCAGCCGCTGCAAGCATGAAACCTGGATGTTGTTGTTGTTGTTGATGATATAATGCTGCAGCTGCAGCATTTGTAAATGCAGCTAGTTGATAATTATTCACTGTTCTATTAGATCCTGTTGTTTCTTGTTGTCCAATTAAAAAATGAGCGGATTGTTGAACTCGATTAAGTTGTTCCTCTTGAACTGAATTAACAATTACAGAGGTGGCTGGTGTACCGCTACCACCAGCAGCAGTAGCAACACTCGCACCATTGATAATAGTTCCAGTGGTGTTCGACGACATCAACACCCCAGAATGTGGATTAGCAATTGATGAAGTTTGTGAAACTCCTGCTACAGCTGCCACTGCTGCTAATCTCTGCTGATGTTGTTGCTGTTGTAATAATAGTTGTTGATGTTGTAGTTGTTGTTGTGCAACAGTTTGTTGAGCATCAGTCGCCACCTGTGAATAACCTGTTACTAGTTGTAATTGTGTAGCAGCAATTGAAGAATTGTTCTGAGCATTAACAGTATTAACATTACTCTGCTGCTGGTGTTGTTGTTGTTGGACAACGGCAACAGCTGCCGCAGCCGCTTGTGCTTGCGCTTGAGCAGCAGCTGCTAATGCAAAACTAGTTGGATCAGTTGAAGAAGCCAGAAACAAACCAGCAGCCATTCCTTCTTGTGGATGACAAAAGAATGTAGTTGGACCAGAAGGTGTTGCAACAGTACCTGCCGAGTTAACATTACCACTAACCCCAGCAGTAGGGAAAAGAAAACTATGCGCTGCTTGTTGATGGGCTGCCAAAGCCACGGCCTGTTGTTGTTGTTGTAATTGGAATTGTTGTGTTTGATTGACAGTTGATTGATTACAATTACCATGATTAGAGACTGCAACTAAATGTGTACCAGCTGCAGCGGCAGCCGCAGCAGCTGCCACTGCATAGTTAGCCTGTTGTTGTTGCTGCTGTTGTTGTAAAAGTTGTTGATGTTGAACAACTGCTGCTTGTTGTTGTTGTAATTGTTGAAGTTGGTGTTGCTGTTGTTGTTGAGCTGCAGTGGCATGAAATCCAACAACTTGAGGGAAAATTGTTTGACTAGTCTAAATATAACAACACAATAGATTGTTACAAAATTAAATGTAAGTTCTTTAAAAAATATCATTAACTGTTTACCTGAATTCCATTTAATTTCTATTTGATATTATTAAATAAATGAATAAATAAATAAACGAATTCCTTACTAAATTATCTATTAAAAATGTAGAAATCTAACCAATTAAACTACTAATTATAAATTCTATTGTGTTTTTTTTAATTATAAAATTTACTTTTATCTATTTAATTCAGATTTGAAATGATCAGGCAAAAAATGCAACATGAAAACTTAATTTTTTATGTTTGATCAATATATTTTATTGAAACACATCAACATTGGTACAAAGGGGGATCAAAATATATATGCGCCATACAAATCATTGAATTTGTATGTGGGCTGGAATACGAGCCGAATGACCGATCAGAAACAAATGGTTTTCTTAGGGGGCCATACTGCGAGCCTTCAACTTAGAGGTCTAGTCTATAAGGCAGTGAGGCAATATCAGATGAAATCCCATGGTAGCCGGTGATCCACAATATGTTTATATGCCATTTGTTCCCTCGGGATCCTGGGACCTATGTGAACGGTTGAGTTGATATCAGGTTTTTCTAGTTCCCCTAAGTGAATCTTTTGTATTCACAAATCAGGTTAGAGCTTGACATTCCTTTTTGTCCTTTTCATTATCTAAACAACAACCTTGCTGAGATAAAGCAATTAGTATGACTTCTTTGGAGGTGGCTAATATACGCTTATCATATGCGATTTTGAGCCATGTCGTTCAAGGTCTCTAACCATCGGTTGGTATCATCTCGCGGTCCCCAACCCAGTAGTCTACATCTACCAACATGGCTCAGTCCACTTGTTAGTGACTTCATGGATTTGTGCCATGTTTTGGTCTGGCCGCCCCTAGCTTTCACCCAACCTACTCCTACACCATTGAACGTTGGGGCAATCATTGGTTGGGCATACGTAACATGTGTCCCAGCTATCTCAAATGATATTTCACTACTTCATTAATTCATTCAATGCACATTCAAACAAAATTTGTATAAAAATAACAAATCAATTATGAAATCAGCAGCTTTTGGTAAAACATAGGATAGGAAATAAATATGAAGATCCAGAAACCAGTTCGACAAACAATAATGGTCTAACTGTATTCAAACAATAGTATTTAGTAAGCCAGTATTCAATATTTAAACGACTTTCGACAAAAAGAAAACAATATAAACGGTGAAATAATTAGTACAACAATATATATAAAATGAAGTAACCAAGAAAATGAACCTATATAAAACAGTGATTGATGGATAAGTTTTATAAAATATAATACATGAATAAAGGAAACTGACCAATGGATGAGCTTGACCAGACTGATTTGGTGCAGCTATATGAGTCAATACCATCATAGGACCTGAAGGTGTGGCTACTGTTTTCAATTCAGGTTGAAAATGAATTGAAGTCTGTGCAGGTTGAACATTAGTACCTTGTTGAACACCATTAGATGATTGTGTGACCGTAATTGACTGAGCAAGAGCTGGCATAGCAGCCATGGCAAAAAACTGTTGATGTTGTTGCTGTTGTAAGGCAATTCCTGATGGATGCATTGCTGCTACGGAAGCTACACTGACACTTGGTAACATGACAGTTCCAGTCGCTGCTTGATGTTGTTGAACAAGATGGTGATGATGAGCAGTCATTGTAGGAAACATTAGACCAGAAGCATTAGCTGCAAAAATCGGATGAGTTGTTTGAGTCATACCAGTAGGTGTTAGTGAAACAGTTAGAGGGGTGAAATTAACTGCAGATGATGCCGACGTTGTGGTTGCAATCATTGAGACTGGAGTAAAAACAGTAGTTCCACTAGTGATCGATGCTATTTGATTATTTGTTTTCATATCGGATTCCGTACTATCACTTTTTCGCACACTACTAACAGATTTTCCATTATGTGATCTATTTATAGCCATATTGGTGGTAATATTATGTGAATTTTCCACTGATGACATTGCCACTTTAGTTTCATTATTGTTAGACTCAGAACTATCAGTTGTAGACTTTGATTTTCGTTTAGATAAACGCAATGGCGCAGAGCCTAAGAGGACAAGATTTACAGATAAAACAAGTATTGAACTTCAAATTTATAGAAGTTGAAACTTTTCAATTCACTAATTAACGAGACGTGCAAGAATATAATAGAAAATAATTTCCAAAATCAATATATATAACGGTGAATTTTGAAGTTTAAAAAACCTAGAAGTTCTTGCTTCTTGAACGATTTCATCATTTTAAAAACGTTTATTTCCAAGCAATCAACAGTGACTCGTAAAACAAGGATTTGATAAAAATACGCGTCAATTCAAATTGTTATAATTCATAATACCATGATAAAATGAAATAACAGAATGAAGGACAAACACTAGTAATGTCAGTGATTGTAAAATATTAAATGAAAACAATATCGTTTGGAGTACGGAAAATGAAACCGGGAAACAAAATATATGAAACCATGGCAAGATTAAAGATTTGTAGGTAGAATAAAAATATACATAAATGTGATTCATTGTAACTGATTTTAAACAATGTGATACAATTTATCCCACCATTGAATTATGAATATTATCGATGTAGGAAACGATGTGTTTTCGTCGTCTACACCTACGCTCCAACAGATTGCAGGCCGGATGAGATCAAGGACGAGTTACACCACCAATTAAGTGTTCGTCCACACGAAAAGAGGTCGACATTGTGGTGCCTGCCTGAGACTTGACTGCTCAGGCCGGGAGTCTGGGCACAGAATAGAGTCGTTTAGGTGGCCGATGGGGACTTGTTAGTCGCAGGTCAGATAGTGGGGACCGTCTACTAATATTTTGTGCAGACCACAACCTGTTTTTGGCTAGTACTAACTACAGACCCAGTTATCGTCGATGTGCCACTTGGAGCCCTCCATCTGCATCTCAAGCCTGGACTCAGATTGCTCACATCGCGATCAGCTATCGCTGGCGTGGTTGTGTACAACACTGCCGCTCATTTTAGAGTAACTATATGGACTATGATCATGCCCCTGTTTGCGCCAATCTCACCTTACTTTTCCGTGGTCAACAAATTCATCGTCCTAAACGGATCGATGTCAGTAAATTGGTTGCAGCTTCTGTTGCAACCAAATTTCAAACCAAGCTACGTTCAAGGCTAGCTAACATCCCGCCGAAAAGTATACATGAGGATTGGTTGTAATTGCACGACTCCATCAAAATGGTTAGTAAAGTCGCTTGTGTCTTCGCAAAATGTCCCGCTTATAAACACTGGGTTTCCTCAGGCTTCCTACAACTCGTTGAAGCCCGATGGTCTACTACGGGTGACCGCGAGTTTGATCATAAACGAAGACTGTTGCGTAATGAAATTTGGTAAAGCTTGTGTAAGGAGTGAGAAGCCTGGTGGTCGGAACGTGCCAATGATTCGGAAGCAGCCACTGCATCTGGTAACTGCCGGAAGCTCTTTCAACTCACCCGGGTCACTGGAAGCAAGAAGTCTGGTGTGAGCGACACAATCTGTGAAGCTGATGGGATGCCGATCAATAAGATTCACCAACGTCTTGGACGACGACCAGTTTTTCGAAGAGCAATTCAACTGGTCTTCTACCCCGGTGACATCGATCAGACTGTCCTACCATCCGTAACCTGTGACGACTGATCCACCTAACGAATGGAAGTCCACAAGGAACTCCAACTCTTGAAGTGATACGAATCACCAGACCCAGATGGGTTACCTCGAGCCACTTTTAAAGGTGGTGGCGATCTTCTAGTTAAGGAACTGACCGAATTGTTAAAAAATGTCTGGAAATTAGAGTGTTCCGACAACGTGGAATAAGTTGATAGTTGTCCCTATCTATAAAAAAAGGTTCATGTTGTTTCTATAACAGCGATTGGGGGATAAGTCTATTTTCGATTGCGTCCAAACTATTGGCTCCTGTCATACTTTTTAGGTTGGTCAAAACCCGAGAAAGTTTGACTCGCAAGGGGTAAGTTGGTTTTCATTCTGATCGAGGACGTATTAGTCGTACCTTTACACTCCACCAAATGTTAGAACACTTTCAAAATTATTACAGGTCAACAATCGTAGTGTTTCTTGGGCAATACTGTGCTCTGGAATTGTCTATTGAAAAAGGGCGTGTCTAAGATTATTAACAACCAACTCACTCCATTGTTCTATCCAAGCAGTAGGGTTAGACAAGGTTGTCCAATCTCACCATTCCTCTCCAGCTTTGCTATCGATGACGTTCTGGAATAAGCTCTGATGGATATAAGCAATGATAGTGTGGATCTGTTGCCTGGAGAAAGACTCTTCGACTATGAGTATGTGGATAATATTGTGAGATCATACCCAAGCAATACAATCCGAATTTAATCAGTTGACAGTCAGTGTCCATAGGTATGGTATGTGCTTTGCAGCTTCGAAGTGTAAAGTACTTTTACAAGTCTGGCAGGACCCTGATCCTGCACTCACGCTGGGTGGTGAGCAGATAGAAGTATTCGAGAAGTTCGTGTATTTAGATAGCTGCAAAAATGCTGGTGGTGGAATGAGTGATGAGATTAATCCATGTATAGCTAAAGCCAGGGCGGCTTATACCAATCTGGGCCATCTTTTGCGGCATCATAATTTTAGTTTGGCCGTAAAATATCGGATCTATAACACGTCGGTGAGAGTAGTTTTGCTTTATGCTTGTGGGAATCGGCCTCTACGAGTTGAAGATGTTAGGCGACTTTTTTCAATCCTTATTGTCTGCAAACGAACTGCTTTGGTTAAATATGAACATTTTGTTACTGAGGTACCCAGATTATCTCGTACGACTGAGGGCGGGGAGAGTTCACTCTCCCTTTTGAAATGCTTTTACATAGCTTTAACATGGTAGGTGGATATGGAGGATCTACCGAGAGGAGTTGGAAAACCTTGATTCCAAACCGATGGTACACATGGGTTGCTGCAGGATCCTGAGGGAACAAATGGTGTATGAACCAATCGTTGGTCACTGGTTACCACCCGACTGCATCTCCTGATGTTGCTCCATTGCCTTGTGGATTTGACTTTTATATCAAAGGCTCCAGGTGTGGTGCCCTAAGAAAACCGCCAACTTCGGTTTGGGCACCCGCGCAGTATCATAGTCCACACACAAATCAAGTGACTTGTGTGGCGCATGTAAGCCAGTAAAAACGACAGATAACGAAACACACACTCCATTATAGATTATAATGGAGTAAATAATTTACCGCTTCATTTTGGTTGGTTGTCGTGTGCAGGGTCAAAATTGCGTATAGGTGACAATTATTCCAACCATCACAACCTTAACGGCCGATTTATCGATTTTTATAAGTAACCTTGGTAGTATTCACTAGAATCGCAAAATACGTGAGAAACTAATTACAAGAAAATATAACTAACCTGGTGCTTTCCGTTTTACTGCCATATTTATCCCAACCCCTGGTTCACCTTGATGTACTCCACGAATATGTCTGTTAAGATCAGACTTTTGAACAAAAGGTTGCTGACACTGTTGACACTCAAAATTCCTGGCTGCACGATCATGATGTTTCAAATGGTCTTTAAGTTTATCTCTGATAAAGGAAATGAATTAAAGATACGTAAGTGAATATTGGAGTCATCCGCGCGTGAAGCCGAATATATGTTAAGAAAATTTAAGAGGAAAACAATCCATAACTGGACTGAACACTATCTCAAAGGATTTCTTGTAATTGTTGGCAAATGTTCACTATATTAAAACCAACATTGTCCAACTGTTTGAATTTTAAGTTTTAATCCGCAACTGAAAACAGACAAGCTTTCAAAACAAATGAACCACAACATTTTCAGGTTTTGCATATGTTACTGCACAGACCCACTAACTATGATTGTAACAATCCAGTTAAACCCTACGATCAACTTCAGCTGACCGTTAAAAGAGTAGCTGGCATGAATTAATCAGTAGTATTCAGAGATTCTGAGAACCTCTGACTTTCAAATTTGTTGAAAGTTGGTCTCCAATTCAGACTTTCATTACCGTTGTGGATGGATACTGGGCAACTGAAAAGTAGATAGATGTTAATTTCAATGGTTCCTTGAAATTTCCAACACATCATATCTGTCATTTTCCATAAGATATTGCTGAGAACTGAACATTTTAATCTTTTAAATTTAGATAAGTTTAAACTGTTATCTAGCATATCACAGCAAATTTTTACAGAGCTGCAGGCGAAACAAGATAATCAATGACGACCCCGACAACTTTGATAAGCGGCTGAAGAACCTAATGAACAAATCGTATAGGATGATCGCAAAACATTTGAAGTGATTATTTTTGCAGTATTACCCTTATATTTGTCTAAACCTTATCATTGTAAATGTGTGGAGTGAGAGTGTGGAAAATTCAAGATAGGAATTTTTAACTCCTTTTGTTTATGGGAAGGTAGTTAGGCTATAAATAATGGTAGGGTTATATAGTTAGCTTCGTGCCAGGGTTAGTGATACGTCCTGGTCACCCAAACTAAAGTAGATAAATGTGCACTTAAACTGGCGACTCTTAAATCGAGAGTAAAGTGCTCTAACTCATAAACCATTGCTTCGCCTCAACAATTAAGCGAAAAAACGCTTAAGAAATAAAACGATTTGCACAAAACTAGCCTAATAGTGACAAAGAAAAAAGTTGACTTACTTGCGGGAAAAAGCTTTACTACATATATGACAAACATGAGGTTTTTCAGCTGTATGGATAGACATAACATGACGTTTAAGCTTGTCTTCTCGTACGAAGCTGCGACCACAAGTGTCACATATATGTTTTGGTTCTTCATGCATAACTCGATGTTTCAGAAGTAAAGCCTTTTGTGAAAACGCTTTGTTGCACGATAAGCATAAAAATTCACCCTTCATATCCGTTTTATTCCAGTTATTAGGAGAAGCATTAGACAAGCTTCTGGATAAGTGATCCTCTGAACAGACTTCACCATCTGAAGATTCGTTGGCCACCAGAGAGTGATGAAAGCGAACGCGATCCTGATTATTACCAAAAAACACAATAGGTATTTGATCCTAGATTATTGACAATAATTCAAGATAACAAATGTAGCTTTGAAAAATGTTATTTTTAAATATTTAAATTATATGTGGTAACTAGAACACTAATATGCAAATATATGGAATCACTTGTCTTGTTAACGACATAAACGGACTCAGAACTTAACATTACTATAATTCATAGGTAAATATTGAGGATTTGTCAACCTATTTTAATATTAATTACACCTTTTTACATTATTTCTGTAGTTTTTTTTACTAGGGTTTGAGACAGGAATTTATGCTCTAGGATAAAATCATTGTTATTATTTATTTATAACAATCTATCCAATGCTCAATTTATTCGAAGGTATCCAGTCAAATCTTGGTAATGATACCTACATTGGTATTATTTAAACACATAAACATTGGCACAGTGAGGCACCAAATATATACGAGCCACACAAATCATTTGGTTTGTGTGAGGGCTGAGATACTGTCCGGGCGTCCAAAATGAAGGAAGGATAAAGTGAGTTTTTTTATTTTACTATATGAAGTATCAACGCTACGAACAATGTCGATAAAATAATAGTCTTATCACTGACTGCGCGATAATGCCATAATTCCCCCTCGAGATCGAACCACATTCTGGAATTCTAAAATTTGCGCACCATTGAAATCACTATAAAAATACATGTATTTTAGACAGCTGGGGTAACGTACTTATCTAGTAATTAACTCAGTTCACCATCTCAGTTGCGATGATACCTTTAAGGTCCTACATAATCATCAATAAAAAGCACCTCTGTTTTATTCTAACGTATTTGCGATGATCGACGATATTAATAACGTGTATCCCTGATAAAAAGAATCAACTGAGGGCACATATAAATTAAGATTCAGTGATTTGGTATGGTCATATAATGCAAGATAAGTTAGTAGGACTGAATAGTGAAATACTGTTGAGAACTCGTCAATTTCTATCAATTTTTTACAATTAAATTAATAAATATCACTGGGAAATATGGACCCTTGAACAAATATCGAGCATTGATGCCACATTTTGGTTTGGCCACCCAAATTTCTTCCGACCATCCTCAACACTAGTCAGCATTGCACGTCGTGGTAATCGGAGTTCAGGGTTCAGGCATACGCAACACGTGGCCCAATCATCTCAGTCGATGAAGATTCACAATTTCATCAACTGATTTACTATCATTTCCTAATACCCTGCGTCTAACCTCGCTGTTACTTACCCGGTGATGCGAGCAATATTTCTAAGACATCTGTGGTCAAATACTAGTAGCTTACGAGTATCTTCTACTCTTAATGGCTACGTTTCGCAGTCGTAAAGTAGAACGGAACGAACTGTCACACAGTAAACTCGTCCCTCAATTAATAGACGAATATTTCGACTTCGCCATAAGTGACGTACGATGGCAAATGCCAAACGAGCTTTTTGAATCCGTGCTGAGATTTCATCCGTCACCAAACCATTAGGGCTGATCAGACTTCCAAGATAAGTGAAGTTATGGATCCATTCGACTAATTCACTCCCTATCTTTATTTCAGGTGTTGATGCAGACTAGTCCTGGAGCAACGACTTGCTTAAAAGTGCATAATCCACTCTCGAATCAGTGAACGTGGCTTCGACTGTTGGAGTTTTTACTTTTTGGCAAACTTTCCAATTGTTGTACCAAAGTATTTAGAGCCGCAGCAACTTCCAGACCCCAATGTATATTTTTTAATGATTGGTGACAACAGAACCAGTTTGAAATAAATTAGTGATATTTAGTAATATCATATGCTTATTAGTGAGTCTGAAGACTAGATTGTAACCATGAATTACATTTATGTAGTTAAAAAGTCAAGGATTGTTGCAACAGGAAAAGTTTTATTCCTCAAGTGACAAAAACGAGAACATGGGAACAAATACAAAACGAAGTCTGAAGCATAGGAAACATGATCAGATAAATACGAAGAATTTTGTACGCTACTACTTGGTTTTGAAAAAAGAAATTAAGCTCAACACAAAGAATATCCAAAAAGTTCAATGACATTTAGCATCAAAATTTAAAATTATGTTTAAATCTAATTAACTCACTGAGTTTTTGTTAGTATTCACAAAGCTTGTGTTGCACAAGTCGGAATTAGAAGTATTCATCTGTGAATTATTGAATTCATTATGAACTGGAGCTAAGCTTAAACTATATAGACGATCTGTTCCTGTGCCTTCTAAGGCCGGGTCAAGAGTTAAAGATGGATCAGGTTTACGATTACCAGCTAGTGCATACACCACATCATCAACAGCAGCAACTGCAGCAGCCGCATAATCAGCATCGTTATATATTTTTTCATCATCTTCTTTATGGGATGAATGAACAGAAGGAGAATGCCCACTGGGTTCAACTGGATCTTCTAAACTATCATTATGGTGCTCCAGTGTGAGGAGTAAATTTCGATCTTCATTACTGATCTTAGTCTGAACATCATCTTTTGTTGGTGACTCCGAAATTATAGGAGCCTTGGTAATTGGAGAACTTTCAGTTTCACATGGTTCTTTGAATGTGGAGTCTTCTACTAAAGGGGACACAGATTTAGCTGTCTTAAACTTCTTATCGTCATCAGCAGACTGAATAAAACAATCATCTTTCTGACTCTCTGTTTCACACTTGATGTCAATAGAACTCTCAGCAGACGCCACTACAGAAGATATAAGTTTCGTATTTGCAGGGAAATGAGTTGTTGTTGTTGTTTTGACACTGATTGGTGACTCGTGTGGTAGGATCACAGAATTAGCATTATCGTTTACGTCAGAAACATCAACGTAAACATCCGGGAAATCTGGTTCGGCAGAACACATGACAGATGTTTTCGAAGACGCTAACTCGCCACTATCTGTTGAAGGAATTTTGTCTGAATGAGAAATACATCTAAGGTCAATGTTCACTACTGTATCAACATGAAAATCGTCGGAAGTTTTTAAAAAGTACTCATCATCAACAGCTGGTAATGAAGCTGAGTGTGATGAAATAACTTGTTCTAAATCCATTAAATTTTCGTCTGTCGCTTTAGATACAGAATCAAAATTATCATCCGTAATTGCACATTCTTTTGCTGCCTGAATATTTGGTTCACAAGTAGTAGTATTTGTCCAGTTATTTGTAAGATTACCCGATACATCTGTTACATTCGCTGATGAGCAGACAGTATACTCCTTTGATACAACAACAGGGCTAAGTACGGTTGTTGCGGTATGTTCACCGATTGATAAACACGAGGATATGGTAGTATGGCCAGATGAGTTGCATTCTGAAACTACTTTAGGAGAGCTTAGTGACACACATGAAGTATGAACTGTATCCTTCAGAAGTAAAAGATTTGAATTAAAAACCTGATCGTCATGATTTTGACGATTTATATAATTGTCCATATGCACAGGCGGTGTATTTGGTGGGGGAAAGTGAGAAACTGATGAGAGAGAATTTGTACGTTCATTCTCGATAGAATGAGATTCGCAGGATAAACTATGGTGAAGCATATCGGACGTATGTCTACCATCTAAATGTGTCCGAATAGGGGAATGAGATCGGAATGTTAGAGGAGAGCTGCATGGAGTGGAAACACTGGAGGATAACAAATAATTAGTAGACACAGACTGTGTTGTGTGTGTTGGGATTAGGATTGCGAGAGGGTCATCTCTATGTGCATAGGGCGTTCTTGACAAACTATGACTCGAAACTAACATAGGAACACTATCTATTGAGTGAATGACCTGAGTTTGATCGCAAACACCAACTGACATTGGTCTGCAAGTGATTGTGTCCATAAGTCGACTACTTCTTGAATCAGGTGGAGTGTTAAGTCCAGAAGAAGAACGAACTGGCGGTGAACCTTGATGAACCCTGGAGTCGGCAGCCGCAACAGCGGCTGCTGCTGCTAGGAGTGAACGTACATCTTCATCATCATCGACTAAGGGTGACACATCAGGAGAGTGTTTAATGCATAAACCAAGATCATCTGTGAACGGCAACAAACGATTTGAAGAATTTCCAGGCGCTATTGTGGTCAAAGAGAGGGACGGTGTGAGGTCGTCCAAGACATTGGAAGCATGTTCTGGACAGGTAATCCCCAAAGATGGGTGTGGATATTTTGAAGAACCCGACTGAATAGACCCAATATTGACATCAATGTGGACGGCATTTGTAACGCCACTTTCAGTGACGGAAATAGAGGTGGGCACCTGTGAAAAATTTTAAGTTGGTTAGAACTTTGAGTAGAAAAAAGCGGCTCAAAATACTTAAAATTAACCAATTTAACGGAGGGAAAACGTATAACTTACGTTTATTTCAGTATTTGTATCTAAACGAACAACCCAACTAGGAGTAATATTTTACGTTCTACTATACTTAACTCAAATATACAGCAAATTGTGTTTTGAAGTACAAGACAACATCAATAAATTTGGGTGAGGCAATCTGGTTCAAACAACATAGGTAAGCAACGATCGTACAAAAATATTAAAAATGTTTATATCTATGTAAAAACAAGTGTAATATAATCTTTACTACCTGGGCGCGAGTTCACGCAAATAAACATTGAGATCCATAAATTGACAATATCACATTGGTTAATATTTAAAAGAGTAGAAAAAGGAGCATGTACATCCGTTATGCAGTTAATATCAACACGGTAAAGAGAAACAGTGAAAAACAAACACTAGTAATATCAATGATTGTAAAATACTAAATGAAAACAATAACGTTTGGAGAACAGAAAACGAAACCATGAAACAATAGCAGAACTAAAGATTTGTAAGTAAAATAAAAATATACATAAATGTGAGTCATTGTAACTGATTTTAAACAATGTCATATAATGTATCCCACCACTGATTATGAATATTATCTGAACTCCAAACTGGATATCTGCACTCATGCAAACGACTAAGACTAATTATTAGTGACTTCATGGACTAAGTGTGTGACAAGTCCTCTAACCATCACGACCTTACCAATCGATTTCCGATTTTTAATAAGTACCCTCAAATTAATCTCAGCAAAATTAACTCAGCGGTTTTAGCATATGCCATCAGTACTTTTAAATGACCGCAATTAAATACTAATTTTTACATATATCCTCTAAATACCAAGACCGTGATTCCCTACTACAATATGAAGCAAATGAAATACACTGAAAACTGTACGCACTTTATAAGGCATACGGCTACATCATCTGTCAGTCAATTATTTACAAAGTAGGACCAGGTACACAAATACATCAGTTCAAGTTGTCACACCTCATTAGCACCGAATTCATTGTAGTTACCTCAATAGTGGTAATATGTAAAAGAAAGATTGTGCATAAGGATATAGTACAAGAAGAATTAATTGGTAGAACGAAAGATATAAAGCAATTTTAATCTCACAGTTCAAGGGAAGACAGAGAGTGTATACACCTACGCCATTGTGATCGATTCTGAGCCACGTCATCCAGAGTCTCCAACCATTGGTTATGATAGTTGCGCGAACCCCAAACAAGTAGTCTGAATCTATAAACATGACTAAAACCAGAAGTTAGTGACTTCAAGCATTGATGCCACATTTTGGTTTGGCCACCCAAATTTCTTCCGACCATCCTCAACACTAGTCAGCATTGCACGTCGTGGTAATCGGAGTTCAGGGTTCAGGCATACGCAACACGTGGCCCAATCATCTCAGTCGATGAAGATTCACAATTTCATCAACTGATTTACTATCATTTCCTAATACCCTGCGTCTAACCTCGCTGTTACTTACCCGGTGATGCGAGCAATATTTCTAAGACATCTGTGGTCAAATACTAGTAGCTTACGAGTATCTTCTACTCTTAATGGCTACGTTTCGCAGTCGTAAAGTAGAACGGAACGAACTGTCACACAGTAAACTCGTCCCTCAATTAATAGACGAATATTTCGACTTCGCCATAAGTGACGTACGATGGCAAATGCCAAACGAGCTTTTTGAATCCGTGCTGAGATTTCATCCGTCACCAAACCATTAGGGTCGGATTAACAGGTTCGTATTCCCTTACAACGAAACGTAAGTGAGCCAGAAAAAGTGTTTTGAGAACATTAGTTGATGATTAGAACCCGAATATGCAAACAAAAAAGTTGAACTCCTGTATATACATGCAACATTGACGGCTGATAGCAATCTGACATATTTAACTTTTGAGTTTCAGGAGAATGCTACATTTCAAATCGGCATCGGAAGTTAGGTTGTTGTGGATATGAACTCATATGCCAACTTTCAGGAAACAAATCAATGTCAGTTTGATTGAAATTCTGGCATAGTAAACTATTCAATATGAACACTATTCACGAAATTTTAATACATTTTTTACGATATTCTGCTGCTTTGCCAAACAGTCTAAATATTCTAATCCTTTTTTATTTATGCGTAGTCGACAAACTTAGTGTTTTTGAATTGATTACACTGAGTCAACAAAAATTTGTATTTCCAAACTGCTGCCATTAATTGGTAAGTTAGGGAAAAGACGATGGAATAATTTTGTTCACTATATTGAAGTCGGAGTCGTGAATTACTTGCACAGTGCACGAACGTACCAAGGACTGGTCACAAGTATACTATGATATGCAAATATAGAAATAGGATGCTTACTGTTCGACCTAAAAACACGGGTATTTAATGATTACATAAACGACTAGGGACTCAAACTTTGTAGTAAAGTCAACAGCTAGAAACATAATATCTGACAAGCGAATTTAGTTGGTGATAGGATTTATTTTTTATTTGATGTATACTGTCAACTGTTGCCGTTTGTTTAGAGATAACGAAAAAAACATTAGGGGATCTATATATTATCACCAAGGTTTGATTTGACACTATCAAATGAACTTAGCACTGGATGGATTTTAAATAATAAAAACGATGATTTATCTGTAACATCCAGATGATTGGGAAATAGAAATACTGATGTTTCGCGGCTTATTGTAAGTTGATTCTTCAGAGAATAAATCTAATTATATATTTGTCCTCTAAAGAACCGACATACAGCCGCGAAATGTCCGAGATTCGAACTTCAATGAATTATTACATATGTATTACTACTTTTATTAATGTTGAGTAATGCTAAGAATATATCTCCACCAAGATTCGAATGAACTCTGTTGTGAAACCTTCAAATGGATAGGTTCTGGAAGGTAGCTAATAATTATGTGTATCGATGAAGTTCCAACTTAAAATCCATGAATTTAGTGACGTTCATACATATTTATTATATGAAAGTGGAATCTTAACGACAGACACTTATGTGCAGTTTGGTCAAATGATACAGTAAGAACTAATAAAGATATGCCCCCAAATGCCCTGGTATGGCCGAGAGTGGGGTGGGTTCGCCCTCCCTCTCGAAATACTCTCACATGGCCACGCGTATATAGTCTCTGCAGGGAAGTCCTACTCACTGCCTTCTCGTGGCGGGGGTGTTGTTCACGAAAATGAGAGGACGAAAAGCGAACGTCCGGCGCTTTAACCGGATCCCAAACCAATAGTGTACATGGGCTTCAGTATCCTGAAATAACAAATGGCGTATGAACCAATCGTTGGTCACCGACTACCATGGGACTGCATCTCCTCACGATGCTCCACTGTCTTGTGGGTTAGACCTTTAGAACAAAGGGCTCGGGGTGTGGCCCCCTAAGAAAACCACCTGCTTCGGTCTGGGCACCCGGGCAGTATCTCAGCCTGCACACAAATTTAATGAAAATGAAGATTTTCACTGAAAACTCTATTCTCGCTTCGATTTACAGTCAGACAATTCACATTATTATTATTTACCACGTCATTTATTCACTCTCTTTTATTCCCACTGTCTATCCTTATTTTTCGACTTATACAGCAGCTCGCTTATGGTGGACATTCGGCTCTATCTAAACGTTTTCGAGTCACTGCCTAATTGAAAATTGTATGTTACGACCGAATACGAGTACTGAAGCCTGGAACCATTTCCAATCTACTGTAAAAGCAGCAGTGGTTTGAACCAAAAGATCAACGAATATAAAAAGCCTTTACTAGTTTAAACGGTACTTAGATACTCGCTCAGCGAGTATGGAGAAAGAGGAGCGAAAATGACGTCCACACCAGTAAGTCTGAGTGGGAAAAAAAGCGAGATAGAAAAAGAATTGGTTATAGGTAACGCTAGATAACTGTCCAAACTCATAAAAGAAATAGGCATTGAGACTATCACAAAAAAGATGAGGTTGTGATTGACTATCGGTGGGAACTGATACATGCCCACTAACTTCCAGAGACTGAAAAGCTCATATCTACTTTGGAGCGCGGGAGAGCAGTATGAACTGATAGGTTGACAACAAAGTGGGATCATCGAGATTCAACAGTTAATTCGAGAGAGATACTATATAGTTTGGGAACTGGATGTAATCCCATCTAAGTCCCAGGTATCTACCCTGCTTCATCTAATTCGGTTAGTCCCTTATATGCAAGTACCTGGTAATGATTTATTTTCCATAAGTAAATAGTTCATCATGTTTTAGTGCGTAGGCTGGGATACTGCCCGGGTGCCCAGACCGAAGCAGATGGTTTTCTTAGGGGGCCACACCCCGAGCCTTTGACCTAGAGGTCTAGTCCACAAGGCAGTGGAGCATCGTGAGGAGATGCAGTCCTATGGAAGCCGGTGACCAAAAATTGGTTCATACGCCAGAGACAATAATTCCATTGGTGTCACCATCTTGAAACACCGACTTCGGTGGCTGGGACATGTTCTACGAATGTCGTCCCAGAGAATTCCACGTCGTGCATTATTTGCCGACTCTGGGACTGGTTGGAAAAAGAGGAGAGGTGGTCAGTATATGACATGGTGTCGTGGTATGAAAGAAAGCTGCAAAGGGCTAGCTTCTGTTGGTCCTTCACGACTCCCTGGCTGGGGTCCGAGAGACGGTGTGACACAGTGGCTAGAGACGTTATCAGATATGGCTCAGAATAGAAGCCAGTGGCGATCCTGCTGTAACCTTCTTTTACTTTCTTCATAAAAAGTGGTTGCCTCTTCCTTAACTGAAAGATTTTTTCTGATTGTACCTTTCCGTTTCCCCCATTATTGTTCTCTCCCTTTTTTTCTCCTTTCTCTTTAAATTATCATTGTTTTGTGTGGCGCATATATATTTGGTGCCCCCTTGTACCAATATTTATGTGTTCAAATAAATAATAAATAAATAAATGATTTATT